TATAACGAAGAAGTTATGCATGTCGAAGTTTCGCGATAAAACTTTTACGACGCTGGGTGACGTAAATAGTGAATTTACGACAGAGGACTTTTTGGCCTTAGTAATCTAAACAAAAGTTGTAGTATACGTTAAACCGAGAACGTCCATAAAAAGAACGCCCAAATTTGACTTCGTATGAGGAAGTTATGATTTGTCTAAGATTTGGCATAACAGTGAATAGCCCGAAACTCGAATTTTAGATCGAGCGGTTTTTGGCCGACACAATCTAAATGAGAATTGAAGATCTCATTATTAGTAGCATAACGATAAAAAGACAGACGAAAACGGATGTCGGATGAAGAAGTTATGAATTTTTAACGGACTTTTCCTGTCCCGGCCTGTTAAAAATATAACTGTAAAAATTAATTCAAAATTAGCCGACAGAGTCTAAACGAAAGTTGTATAGTATGATCCCACCTACGCCTTGATATAAAGAACGTCTAAAACAGAGCTCGTATGCGAGAGTTATGATTTTTCTAAGTCGGGAGGGTGCTGTTCGAGTTTGGGTGGCGTGACGCAATCCTGACCGTTGCTTCCTCCCCAAGGCTAGCCACCAGATGGTGACACCTGGCCATGGACTCGACGAGTAGGTCCTCCAACTCGACGAGTTGAGCAGGAATTCAGCCTATAAATAGAGGTGTCGGGTTATGCTCATTTCTCACACCATACAAGCCTTCTTTCTCTCTCTAGAAACTCTCTCTAAGCCTCCCTAACCCCCCAAAGCCTAGGGTAACTCCCTAGCACGAGGCGGAAGCCCCAGAGTGCCTGACGGCTCCGAAAATAAGAGCCTTCGGCTCAGAACCTCTGCTTCGGCAGAAAACGATTTTGAGAAAAACCCGCTGTAAGTGAGCTACGCCTACCCTATCTTTAGTATAACTTATGTTTCAATATAGTAATGTTATTAGGACCTTATAATGAGTATTTGGGCTATTATTATGAGTTATATAAGTGTCATTATAATATCTTTTTAACCACTCGCAGTACGGGGAATCCGGTTTGAAGGGCCACTTGGGTTGCTTGATTCAGAAGTGCTATATGCCAAAATGATCTTGCCCTCCGGTGTTTCATGTCTGGCCCCTTTCTGTACATAGTGGGTGAAGAGTATTGTTTAAAGCTTATATAATAGTAATAATAGTTAGACTATTAATTAGTCTCGGTGAATATTAGACTAAACTCTAGTGGTAATGATACTAGGTTTTGTCCAAGGAAAATTGTTTTAAGAGTAACGATGTCACACCCCCAAACCGGAACGGCGGAAACGTTCGGGGGCGGAGGACGTCATGCTCAGTATCATAACCATAGTGAAGAAAGTAAGCACAACCATCATAAATATAATTTAAAAGGTTACATCGTTGCAAAAATACATGTTTACAAATAAATTACATATGATGTCAAAATAGTTCAAAAGAAATCTGCGCCTTAGCGTCTTGCCTTCAAAAATCTTGTGGTTACCTGTATTACTGATTACCTGAGAATACAAGTTGTTTTTGAAAGAGTATCAGCATAAAGCTGGTGAGTTCATAAGCAATTTATGAATGAAAAATGAATGATGTTCCTTTTTGTTTGTTACAAGTTTGTTTCCAGAAAATCCACTATTTTCCAAAGATTTCTTGTAGTCATAACTGAACCAAAACTTAGTATATGTAAGTAAATCGTCCTACTTGTGTGTGTGGTTTTATATGTAATAATAAAACTCCTTAAATCCCCGTGAACTGTGTGTTTTGTTAATTCCCCATGTGAGATGTTATAACCATACTAAAAGTCGAAGACCTCGTACTCGACGTTCTTCAGGCGTCGGAATTGTTATGACACTTGTCACCCCAGACCTGTCGGTCTAGCTGTTGCAAGCAGCTTAGGTGCGAGTTTGTCAGACCCAATATAGATCTATACACAACTATCACGCTCTCCCTCCAAGAGATTCTGATTATAACTACATGACTTTTTTGTGGTACTTAAGAGTACCCCGAAGGTGAATGTCTCACAAATTTATTCATTAACAAGTTCACGTTGTTTGTATTGAATACCCGTTTTGTAAATCGATTGTATTACCATTTCTTTGTTACATGAGGTGTTCAAACTATACCTATTATAGTTTATCAGTTGTGTGTTATGATTTAATGAAACCTTGATATGCATGACTTTGTACTTCAACGAAAATGACATTAAATCTACTAAGTGTAAATCTTACACACCTTGCTCAACATGTTACAAGGTGTGAATAACTCTTAAACTTGTGTTTGACAGTTTTACCCTTAACTGTCACTGTTTTAGAATATTTATAGAAAAATCAACTTAAGTTAAAAACTGACTCCGTAAACTCGGAGAGTTTAGAAAAAGAGTCTACTGCATTCATAAATTTTCCTATAATTTTTGGTGGTCTCAAACCAGTGTGAAAATGTTCATCTTCACAACCTGGTCCGATTTTGTTGCTGCAGTGATAAGCAGTTTTGTAAAAATCACCATAAATTGTAGAAAAATCGTATAGAGATGTGCAAGTAGTCATTTTAAAGGTATAAACCTGAGCTATTTGTGTATTAAACAGTTTTGAAAAATATTAAGTTTAAGTTGGATAAAACAGTTCGTGAACAGGTCATAACTTTTCTGTTGTAAGCTGTCGAGTTAAGTTTTAAATATGTTTTGGTGTTTTAACTTGTATTCCCCCCCCCCCCCCCCCCTTGAAAACTAAAGAAAACTGGAAAATGTAGGGGTATGAACTCACCTTGAGTGATTCCTTGAAGAGTGGAAGGTTGAAGACAAGGAGTATCAAGTCAAGAACACTTGATGAACACGTGAAAGCTTGGATGATCCTAAGAACGATTCTTTGGTGTTAAAATGTGTGTAGATGATTCAAGGATGTTATGAAAACATGGAATAACACTTGAGTTTAGATGGAATACTTACCAAAAAGTGAAGTAATAGCTCAAGAACACTTCCAAAAAATGGTGGGAAGTAGAGAGAAAAAGAGGTTTTCTTAAGGGGTTAAGAAGTGTGTAAGTGAAGGAATTGATCAAAGTGAACAAAGAAATCCTCTAGGGATTCCTTTATATAGATGTTGCTGGAGCAATTTGCAAAGTTGAAGGGATGTTTACCTTGGTTTGTGTGATGTGGATAGGGTTGGACCAATGAGGAGATGACACATGGAGACAAGTGGGCACACTTGACCCACTTGTGGGGTAGAATACTCTTCTTAATATAAATTAATAATTTTTAATTAATAAATCCTTGAGAAATGAATAAAATATGAGTTTAGGGGGTTTAAAATGGTAAAAATATGAATTTGGTGAAAAATCCCCGTCAAAAACGGGCTTAGGAAGCGAAAGTAGTCGAAAACCGGGCATTAAGGAGCGAACCTGCGAGGTTCGGTCCTTAGAAGGTGAGAATCTGAGAGAAGGGAGAAGGAACCGAAGGTGGGAGAAGGGACCGAAAGTGGCAGGGAACCGAAATGGACCGAGGGCTCGGTCTATTTCGGGTGTATGGAGGTTTCGGTCCGAGATGGCTAGTTCGGCTATGACAGTTCGGTTCGCAGGAGGTTCGGTCCGAGATGCTGACTTCGGTCCTGAAGGCTTAGTTCAGTCCTCACAAGGGACCTTCGGTCCTAATAGAAGGTTCGGCCCTAAGAGGTTCCCTCTAAGAGGTTCGGTTCCTAAGAGGGGTTTCGGCCCTAATTTGCTATTTTTCGATATAACTTCCCGATTCAAGCGGTTTTTGGCCAAGTTAAGGGTCGGGATGACCCGGATGACTATAAAAAGTTGAGAGAGATTTGGGAGAATGATTTTTATACATGTTTTAAATGATTTAAACTGTATATGTATTTTATATCTACAAAAATGTTGGGGTAAAACATGGGTAGATGTAATAAGACGATGTGTGATAAAATGATGAGAGGCCTCGATGTTGTTGGTGATCCAGTCATCTAATGAAGTATAGATGACGGCCACAGACTCTTCTAGACAGTCCAGTGGAATGCTAGCAGGCTCACAAAGTGTAGGTGTTTGTGAACGATGTGTTCACCGATGTACTCCATCCCCCTCGTGGTTGCCTTTAGGACATTTATTGCTGAGGAACCCCCTTGACAGTAGTTTCCATCCCGATGATGATCCTTAGGCTAGGTCCCTTATGATAGGTTTTTTAGGGACGTAATGTGAGGATAACGGGAACGGGTAGTCATGTTATTGTTGGTTGTTGAAATTAATAAACTTATTTATTGTGGGTTGAAAACCCTATGTGCTCATCAGGCTCCCAAGTCTGACCCACTCAGTTTCTTGTATTACATGTAGTGGCACCCGAGCATAGTTATGATGTTTGGATAAGGGATTACGTATTATAAGCCTGTAAATATGAATAAATGTAGTAAGGCTTGTATTGTACCGTTTATGCTTTTGATATGTATCGAACATGACATCTCGAGGTTTCTAATGAAATACATTTCTTCGGAAATGCTTTAAAAAATCTTTATCATATTTTATTTTGGGAACAAATTCCGCAACTCTTTTATTTAAAATGTTACTCTGATTTTTAAAACAAAGCATAAACAAATCGGTCTTTTCTGCCCGTAAAAATGGAGATGTCACAGTACGAAACTAGAACAAACAAAGACAAAGACAAAAACATCAAATTCACTACAAAAAATACCTTCATATTTCAAAACGAAGTCGTTATCATCATCATCATCAAGATTCAATACCGTCTGTGTGGTGTTCTTAAACTTTAACTTGAATAAACTCAATCTTGTACTCCGCATTCTTCTAGAATACACTTAACTGAAAACCTCAATGCCTCCCTATCAATCTTCTAGGGTTTAATAATCGATATATATATATATATATATATATATATATATATATATATATATATATATATATATATATAGCAAATAACTCCATAGAATCTTCTGATTTTAAGAATGATTCTACAAAGTCGGACGTTGTTTTGGTCTCCGATAGAAATGATTACCGATTTGCATGCTCTGCGAGATATTTGAGATGCGTAAGTTAGTTACCAAAAGCTACAATCATTTCCTATTATGATGGTGATGCTAATGTACAAAACTACCCTTACACGACCGTTCCATTTATTGAAATGCTATTAATTTGTTTTTTTAATTGATTATAAAAGAAAATTACTTATTTAAGTTACCAGATTGGCCAATAATCATCCATTTATATATACAAAAACCTAACCCCATATATATATATATATATATATATATATATATATATATATATATATATATATATATATAATAAAAAGCAAAAATAAATAAAGTTAAAAAACAAAAATAAATAAAATAATAAAAAATGAAAAATAAAGTTAAAAAAACATATGGTTTAATTTTTTACAAGAACCAAATTTAGATTTGAAAACTAATTTGAAAACTGATTTTCCAAGAAAGATAACAAAAGTAACTAAGAAACTGATTTTCCAAGAAAGATAACAAAAGTAACTATGAAACTAGTTAAGTGGACAAGAATAAGTCTAGATAAAGTTATAGCTATAACCAAAAAAAAAAAAAAATATTAGACTTTTTCACAACTACATTTATAAAAACTTAACCTTTAAGTATTAGTCTTATATATTCATGAGGTTTCGGCATCGCACTAAACCTCCCCTTTCCACGTTATGTTTACATGTTCTCCTTCCCTTTCCACACACTCATGTTTATATTATAAAATATGTAATTTACTTCTTAATTTAATATAACGAGGACAAAATTCGCAGACAAAGAACCCATAGCACACAACCCCCAAAACATTCGTGTGGTTCATTCGGTATTCCCCTTTGGCCTTTGCCACGCATCTGACACTAGCTCTTTTGATTCTTTAGCAAATCGGAGTTCAATTGATCGGAAACGTCACTCAGGTTAGTTTAGACAATTTGGTTATCTTTATGTGTTTCATGAAATGCATTTTGAACTGTTTGCTAATTTGAGTTTCGTTTGTTGTGATAAGTATTCATGTTACTTTGAAATGTTTTGATTCTCTGATTATTTGGTCTTTTAAGTTTTGTTGATTTTATCTGATGTCTTATGATAGTTGGATAATTGATATAGAGTATCTTTCAAGCGTTTCAAGCGTTTGGATTATCTAGGGTTTGTTGGAATTTGGTATTTTTGCTTCAACACAGGAAAAAGCATTAGCGTAAGGAGAGATAAATAAAGGAACAATTTTACCATGTGGCTGATCTGCCTTTTTCTTTTTTAAGAGTATTCATTTCTGTTGAACTGCTAAGTAGATTGTATATGCTATAGATATTTTGTGCTTGTTTTCATTTGCGAATCCTGTTGATTTTCTCTTTTGCTGTTTACAAGTGTTGTATGATTAAGTGCAATTTGTACTTTACCAAGAATAATTTTTTTTTTTGTCTTTTGGTGATGTAGAAATGGATATGACAAGGAGAGTGACTAGAAACCAGAATGATGATGTTGCATCTACCAGTAAGACTATCAAGACTGATGATGTGAGACCTTGGTCATACCTCAATCATGACATGCTTTTATTAGTTATGATGCAACTGGGGGTCATCGATTTTATTGCTTTTAGTGGTGTCTGCAAGTCATGGAGATCAGTAGCACTCAGTAACAGGAAAAGTTTTATGGCATCCAAACCACCGATGCTGACGCGTATCTCTGGTCGTCTTCATATGGATAAGAAATTCCACATAGATGACCATGAAGGAAGAAAGTTTAAAACCATAATTCCCCATTCTGTTGACTGGTACAATGAAGGATTAACTTCTTGTTACATGATCTTGTTCAGGTTTAATACCAAGGAGTACCGGCTTGTGAATCCAATCACTAGACATGAATTTATTTTCCCTCCTATCCCTTGGGAGACTGATTATGGCTCCAGATCTGTCCTAGTCTTTTCACCTTCAATCTCTAAAATGGTGTTTGTTGTGTTAGCCCAGAAGCAAATATGGTTTTCTATAGCGGATGAGGGAACATGGAATCATGTCTCCTCTTTCGACCTCAAATATTGTAGGGATTTACATGTTTTTAAGGGGAAGATATATACTGTAGACACGAATAATTTTAATTTATGTGAATTCAGACTCAATCCTGAGCCCAAAGTGACGTTGCTCGAAACCAAGAATCTTCCGGAGGATCCGCGAATACTTTTGCCGCAGCTTGTAAGTTGCGGTGAAAACCTTTATGTGATGGGAAGCTCAGTATACGCAGAAAAGTTCAATGTCTTTAAATTAGATTTTGGTAAAATGGAATGGGTGGATTTTGAAGATACAAGAGACGTATGTGGTTTCTTTCTAAGCGAGGAGGATTATAGTGCTGCTGTTAAACCAGAGCTGTGGGCTGACCCTTGGTCACATTACGAGGCATATGATATTGATAACGGAGGTGAACATGAGAAAATATTGTTTTCTGCAATCAGAGGGTGGTATTTCCCGCATGAATGTGAGAATGTTAATCTCATAGAAGAGTCATGACTTTGAAATGCGTGGCTAATGCATCTGGTTTAATTCATATCAAATTATAGGTTTTATCTTTAAGCCTTCTTATGATTGAGATGATGGTGTTTTTTTTTTTTTTTTTTTTTTTTTTTATGGGTGAGGTGTTGTAGTCATTTTTTTTTTCTGATATCTATTGAAAATCCCAGAGATTATTAATAGCCACCATGGCTCTTCCCTACAGATTTGCCTTGGTCATTGTAGTTCAGTTATAGCTTATTAGAGTCTGAAGTCGGCTAAACACCTCTATTTTTGCAGCAAAGGATTTCCTTGCATGAAGTTAGATTGGTGTGATTGTGGTAGTGGCTCTATGTCGAGACTTGTTTCTCTGATATTTTTTCATTCCCAGTTACCGGTTAGTGATTTTAGGTGACACTGATTTTAGTATCTCCTGATCATTACCCCTTGCCATGAGCAACACCCAAAAGCCTAAATAAAATTTCATATAGAACAGAAGCATAGTGGAAAACTACCCTCAAAAAAAATATTAGAGATGGATGTGGCTTAAGTGTGAGTTCCATCTGACTTTTGGTCAAAAGTGAGTTCAATTTACTATTCACTTTAGTCAGGTTGTCAACTTTGGTCAGTTTGGAATTGACTAGTTGTAGACTTTAGTCTATTCAAATTCAAATATAATGAGAGGGCAAGTACATGTAATAGCCTTTAAATTTAGAAAACCTTTTTTTTTTGTCATCCTTATCCAATTTTTGCATAGTTTTTGTGCTTGAGATAGATCGGTAAAATAGAAAATAGTTTCAGAGCTCTAAGAATCGATCCACAAACATAATGAGGTTCTTTGAAGCAAATGACTGAACAACTATTGAAGTAACAAAATAATCCACATCCAATACCCTAAATGTGAGAGATTTGGTTGCTAATATTCACAATTCTAGAGGTAAGATTGCAAATTTTCGTGATAATATCAGATTCAATGCAATTGGAAGTAGGAACTTGGAGATTCCAACATCTGACAACAAGAATTCAAATGGTTGGATCTTGAAAGGTAATTTTTAATCAATTGTCTGATGAAGAATAATTTGGATTAGCAGTTAATTCCTGGCGATGCTTCATGATGGTATCGGTGGGAACATAGGCTTTGTGCGTTTAATCATTTAGGGAGAGATGAAATTGATTCCATTAAAAAAGTTCCCTTAGTATTTAACTGGATTTATATATATTGGGAGACTGAAATTCTATAGTGTAGTAAAAAAAAATTCCATATACCCAAAGATGCAAGGTCCAAATGTTGTGGATTCAGTGTTATACTAGTGAGTTCTGATTGATGATTATGACAAAAGCAATAACATCAAGAATTGATAAGATGGGAGAAGCATCAAAGCAATTAAAAAAACAGTAAATCAATCGAATCTTCATCACAATTAAGCAAGGTTGTAAAAATCGTTCCACGGCAGCTCGACGGTCGATTGGTGATAAGGGATTAATCGGTTTTGGCGGAGATTAATCGGGGATCATACATTATTAATAAAATATTAAAATTAATAAAATATTAATGTCTTATGAAAAACAAGTACTTCAAAATTAGAAAATAAAAAAATATGTAATTTGAAAATACGAAAATATGAACATTTTGGTATAATATTTAACATTTTGAAAATTTGAAAATTTTGGAGTAAAAAAAAAAGTTGATTTTTTTAATATTTAAATTTTTTTTTTTGACCTTTTTTCGACTTTTTTGACTTTTGTTGACTTTTCCTGACCAATTAATCCCACCAAGACCGATTAATCCCGCCAAACCCGATTAATCATAAATTTCCGATTAATCAAAATAGTACTTCAAGTAAAATGGACGATTCATATCACATAAAGATTATTTCCTAAATAATCGTTAGATGCCTGATGAAGAGGAGTTTGGGGTTTTGAGGTCTGTTGTAAATAAAAAGAGGAGTTTTAAGCCTGGATCCAGATGGCATGTATTCGGTTTCTTTGATGAGAAAGATATCGATATTTCACATTTTGGGACAAACTATCGACATTTGCATCAATACGCATTTTCCTTTATCAAACTTTCATTCCATACCAAATTGTTGACCATAGCAGAAAGTCAACTTATGAAATTACTAAACTTGATCAATCGCATATACATGCTTCTCTGATCTTTGGTGCTTTTAGACATGATACAAAGATGCATTTTACTGCCCCAATCTCAATTTCAACAAGACAACATGCATTCAAGAATTTCATATTTTCCCTTTAGAAATTACCTCTAATTTCTGTCACGTCACAGAGGAGGAGGATTAGAGCGTAATTGAGTTGATTGCACCATTTTTAGACACCATCGGACAGCACCGGCAATCAACGCCGCCGGCAGCGTTTTCGTTGCTGCCTTTCGGCTCACGTCTCATCTTTATCTGTCTGTTCCGCTTAATTTCAGTTGATCACGCACACAAAGAAAGCGCATTACATGCAAGACATACACTGTGCTTCATCTTATGACTATAGAAAAGAAAGCGCAAACGCACACAAATAATGAGAAATTACCCAGGCTTTTGATTTTGACCAAGTCAACTATTTGTATTTTTTTTGCTTACCCCTTTTCTTTTATTTTTTTTTAGGGTAAATTACACGAATGGTCCATGTGGTTTGGGATAGTCAGCACGTTTAGTCCCTAACTCGTTTTTTTTTTAAGTCAAACCACCTGTATAGTATGATTTTGTTGCGTGTTTGGTCCCTACCAAACGTAAAAAGACTATATTACCATTTTTATTTATTTTTCAACTTATATCTTAATTATAATTTAAACTCTCTCTCTCTCTCTCTCTCTCTCTCTCTCTCTCTCCCCCCCCCCCCACCCCTCTGGTCACTAAGAACCCATACGATGAAGTCTTATCTAATTCAACCTGTACAAAGCAATTTAGTGGTTTTGATTTCTTCATTCGAAACTAAACGATTCAAAGATCACCAAGAGTCCATCATAGATGACTCTAACGAAGAATTGATTGTCTCGACTAAGGATCCTCTTAGAATGAGGGATACGTTCAGATTCATTCTGGACGTGCTTTCTTCTTGTGGATTTTTCTTATTACATATGTTTATCCTAGATTAGGGGGTTTGGTGATTGGGAATGAGGTCGTCTAGGGTACATATTTAGATTCAATGTTGAAATTGAACAACTCATTCCTTCTACTTCTACGTCTCTGCGTCCTTTAATAAACCGTAACATATCACTGATAAACTATGATTTAGCGGTTGAAATCAATCACGTTTGCTTCAATCATTTTTTAAACCCACGTGAATGATTTCAGCAGAGGTAAATCGATCTTTTAATGTGCAAACTACCACAAACCATAAGGACCATTCGTGTAATTTAGGGCGGAGAGAAATTAGGACCCAAGTTTTATTAATTCTTTTAAATATATTAATAAATATAAAAAAGTAAAAAATAAATAAATTAGGGTAAATCAGTCTTTTAATATTGATTAGGGACCAAAAACACAACAAAATCATACTATAGGGATGATCCAAGTTAAAAGAATGAGTTAGAGACTAAATATGCAGACTACCCAAACCATAAGGACCATTCGTGTAATTTACCCTTATTTTTAAGATAAATTCCAAAACTTTATATAGTGTTTGGTTTTGAAGTTTCTAAAGCTTATTTTATATACAAAGTCATGTTTACCCAAAGTAAGAGAGTTTTCCGAAGTGAGGATTGTTTATGATGAAGTAGGTGGTAGAACGTATTAAGTTCTTTTGACATATCTTTGGCATATTTGTTTGTCATGTCGTCGGTCGTCCGAAGTGCTTAGGTCGTATTTTAGTCTAAGCTAATTTGATGATCTTAACTGTCAAATGTCCACGTGTTAGTTTAAGATTAGATGAGTATGTAGTTAATATATATATATATATATATAATATATATATATATATATATATATATATATATATAATATACACACACACACACACTAGCCGTTTACCTGCGTCAAGCGATGGGTGCGAGTAGTTTATTTTAGAAATTAGTTATAAATTTTATCCGCTAATTAATTTTTGAAAGATACTATTTGTTTTATATATTTTGAACAAATTAAAATAATACTTACTTTTATTTCCAATTCCTAACAAAATTAAATGAATATATTTAAATTTTCAAGGTATTGACTTACTTACTAATGTAATTTTTGATAAATAATACTATTTATATTTTTGTAATAAATTAAAATTGTGAAGATATAATATAAAATTTAAAATACATTGGAAAATATATATTGACAGTTATTGAAATTGTTTAATTAGCTTCATACATTCAATGATAAAGCGCAAAAGCTCTTTACTTCTTAAATTTAAAACACCGGGATAATGACTTCAAAATGGTAACGAACTTTCGACTTTGTTCACATTTAGTCACTAAACTTTTTTTCGTTATCTATTTCCCATTGAACTATTGAAACTGTTCACATTTTACCCTTATGACCGGCTGTTACCGGTCATAAGGGTAAAATGTGAACAGTTTCAATAGTTTAGTGGCAAATAGATAACGAAAAAAAGTTTAGTGACTAAATATGAACAAAATCGAAAGTTCGTTTCCCTCTAAAAAGTTCAATGGCTAAATGTGAACAAACTTCCTATTGTATTATCTTTTAGCAAATTATTTATTTTTGTTTAATTGTAGCAACATTTGTTGATGAAGAAATCTATGAAATAAAAAAACAAAATGTAACATCCGGATTTCCAGGTATCATAATTTAAGTATTTTTCTTTTGAGTTAAGAAGAGAGACTCGACGAGTTGACGCCTCAACTCGTCGAGTAAGGTCGCGACTGATGACTCGGATTAATGAATGGACTCGACAAGTCCGCGATGTTGGCAGTAACCCTAAATCTTAGGGCCCGAGCCATATTTAAAGGCACTTATGGCCTTCAATTGCGACTACCTTTCCCATAAGTGAGAACCCTAGCGAGCTTGAGTGTGTAGAGTGAGAGGAAGAGCTATCTTGAGCTTTTTGGTGTGATTTTGCAAGAAAGGAGAAGAGTTCCAGCAAGAGGGACCAAGGAAGGTTATTGTTCTGAGTTATTCAAGCAATGAGCTTCATTCTGAGGTACAAAAATGAACCCCTTTCCTTACCTATTGTGTAGATTCCATTTTGGGGTTAGGGCTTGAATCACTTCATCTTTGGGGTTTTGAATGCCTCAAACCCCTCTTGCAAGTTTGTGTTATAGATCTGGACCCTTCTAGGTCCAGAGAGCCGAGAATATGAAACTTTAGTAGAGTAAACCTTGGGGTTTGAAGTTAGGAATCTGGACCCTTCTTGGTCCAGAGAGCCGAGAATATGAAGCTTTAGTAGAGTAAACCTTGGGGTTTGAAGTTAGGAAGCATTTATGGGATTTTTATGGTATATATAGTTACTTTCATCTTACACAAAGATATGAAGTATTTTATATAAATTACGTGCTATGTGTGCATATTATTTGAATACTTGCTGTCTATGCTGGATGAACGATTTTATACATGTTTTAAAAGATTTAAATGGTATATTTATTTTATATCAACAAATATGTTGCGGATGAAACATGGGTAGATGAAATAGTTGGTGTGTGATGAAATAAAATGATGAGAGATAGGTGATGATAGAAAGGTGATGATAATTAGGTAAATAGATGATGATGAATAGGTGATGTAGGATGAAAGGAGATACCATAACCTTAACCGGCAATCTGGCGATGTAGTCATCTACCAGAGTATAGATGGCGACCATGGACTATTCTAGACAACCCAGTGGAAACACCAGCAGGCCCATAACCTATAGGTGACGAATTACGAGTTCAAGCGATGTTGTAACTACGTATTCATGCGGTGATACTCTAACCCCTTACTATGAATTACGAGTTCAGACGATGTTGTAACTACGTATTCATGGGATGTCACAAATTCCGCATGCCAAACCAATGGTCATAATTCACATCAGTGAGAATGGTTCATTTTTTTGTAAAACCAAAATCAGATTGGAAATTTTGATTTTTTATTTTGGAAAATGTCAAACCATTGGTTTTTTATTTCGGTTTCGGTTTTTTGTTTTTTTTTTAAATATATTTCAGGGTTTTGTTTTTTTTTTATTTCATAGATGTCTTCATCAACAAATGTTGCTACAATTTAACAAAAATAAATAATTTGCTAAAACATAATACAAGAGGAAGTTTGTTCACATTTAGTCATTGAACTTTTTAGAAGGAAACGAACTTTCGATTTTATTCATATTTAGTCACTAAATTTTTTTTCGTTATCTATTTTCCACTAAACTATTGAAACTGTTCACATTTTACCCTTATGACCGGTAACAGCCGGTCATAAGGGTAAAATATGAACAGTTTCAATAGTTCAATGACAAATAGATAACGAAAAAAAATTTAGTGACTAAATGTGAAAAAAATCGAAAGTTCGTTACCCTATCAAGTCATTATCCCTTAAAACACCACATCCCTTAAATATAAGCACACCATAGATCTACTGTATGTTGCAATAAAACTAAATTATGTTACTGGGCATGCAAAATCAAAATTGAATCAATAACTAAAACAACGTATAAAAGCATTTTAAAATTTTTAAAAAAGATAACAGAAAAAAATTAAAATATAATTTTAGAAAGCATAACTCGAGAAACTTTATGCTAATTTGATTTCCTTTTCTTTAAATGATAACATGAATGACACAAATACTCACCTAAAGATCTGGTGAAAGCAATTGAGCTACTTTTGTATCATCTTATTTATATAATGTTTTTTTTAATGTATTATAAATTTTAGAGACATTTCAAAACTCAATCAAAGCTAAAAAGGAATAATAGTGTAACACAATTTCTCGCATTCATGGCAACTTGATCTTTTTTTTTTATTGGACACTACAACTGAAAATGAATAATGGTAAAAAGTATTAAAATGATCTATATTTAAAACTGTTCACTTTTTTGTTGGATAAAAAAATACTTTATGGTTGTAGCGTTCATCGACTATAAAGAATCAAATAAATAAATTGAAGCAATAGTTGAAAAAGACAGTTTAGAAAAGGGAGGACTTCCATTTCGAGTGTCAAGTATCACAAATTATGCAATCAGCTGGTGTAATTGGAGATTGTCGAGTTTTGCCTCTGCATCCAAGCCTTTTCTCAGTTCTGTGAAATCTATCTAGACGACCTTGCACTTGAGTCTTTGTTTCTTTCTAGTTTATGTTGTAGTTGCTTGATGGTTCTGGGAAGTGAATATCAGAATAATATAAAGATTTGATAGACTGCTCTTGGAGTGCATCATGTGAAAGTACATTGTAATTATTAGGTGGTGCTTGAAAATACATTGTTATTGGGGAAGTTTGCTTTATTAAGCACATGAATATTACAAGGTAGAGTTTGAAAGTACACTGATATTGCAGGTATATTGAAATTTCATTGTGAAATATTAGGCCCAAAGTATATAAAAAAAGTAAAATATCATGTTAGTATTAAAAAGGTAAAAAAAGGCATGGACTTATATATTCAAAAGCCCCTCTAAAAATCGTTATTCTCTCTGCACATCAACCTTTTATACCAAATGCTATAGAATTGAAAACTACTCACATTTGATGTATATTTATATGCAAAATATCAAGAAATATGAGGTACCAAAGGTAAACATTACTGAAGAAGAAACTGAAACTTACATGCTTCCTCATAAATTTAGGATTTCATCATGTTCAAATTTCCAAAAGATGTCATCAGAATACACACACAGATATAAATTTCCAATAATTAAGACTTTCTTATTCTGAAGCACGAAAAAAGAAACCAACTTCAAAGCCTTAAGCACTAACCTCATGAATACCAACCTATTGGGCATAACAATTAATCGATGTTTATTTTATAATTAAACATCATAAGTGATAACTTCACTAACCTCAAAAAGAATACCATGCCTAATTTCATGAAGTTGCAGGGGAATGGTAGACCCAACCACTTGCAAAAATATGATACTTCAAATCACCATAAACAATAATGTTATAATTAATCCACACCATAAATCTGAAGAACCAAAATCCCTAATGTAGATCTTGAACAAAGCTTATTTCTGGCATAAGAACCATACATATACATATCTTCATCAAAAATTATATGTGTGAGACAGCAATGGAGTCAAAAATTGAAACTCTAATTGTGAGTAACAACAAAACACAAGAGAAATTTAATACCTATTAATCATATAAAAAGAAGAAGAAACATACCTATCTAGCAAGTATCAAAGTTTCCAAATCAGATATGAGTTATTTGTGAGTCGTTAGCTTAAGAACAAACCCAAAAATAAGAAAAAAAAAAAAAAAGGCTCACTGATGAAATTTAAGGCTTCAAATCGTAGGTTGTCTCTTATCTGCAAAATATCAAGATCGAGAGTAAGTTAAGGATTGAAATCGGGATAGAGAGTGAGGATTGGAGCATGATATCGTTACACATACATAAATATTTTTATTTCTTGCTGGTCTTCTCGGTTTTACCATACAACAAAAGAAACCTGATTATGAAAAGTTAACAAAAAAGTTACATGAAAAGTTTCTCATCAGCGGTTTGAAAACAGATTATGAGGGCTTGAAAAGAAACAAAAAACTAACCATTAAGTTTTAGATCTGATCGACAAAATAAGAAGTAAAAAAACCCTAGATTTGCTATGTTTCCAGGTTTCTTTAGCCATGTTCTTGTCCAGAGATAGCAGATGCACATAGAGAGACCGTTGATTTGAGGGTTAGTTTTGGTGGAGGAAAACGGTGGCCACAGGTGATGAAGGAGGCGAATTGTGGTGGTACACTGGTTGTGCGATGGATGGAGGGGGAGAAGTGGGAGTGATGACCGAAAGGTGAGAGGATATGTTATATAAAGTGTAGTCGGTGTTTACCGATTCATGTTGCTGAAAGCTAGGAATACCAATTCTAGATGGTTTGACTTTTTCAAAATGTTGAGTGTATAAGATTTATCTATTTTGTGATGCATAAATTTATTGTACAAATTGCATAATGCTTTATACCTCTTAAAATTCAGCAAAACATGCTAAATATATATATATATATATATATATATATATATATATATGGTGACTACGATTAAGAAGGAAACATGGGATTTTACGCATCCTAACATCTCTGTTATTGGAGATATTGATTGTAATCCTTTCTTTTCATCTAATCAAAGAGCATAATGTAATATTTACATTTGCTTGCTCATATTTTACATTTATTTCATAGTTCTTCTTGAATTAAATACTCATCATGTGGTATCAAAGCGAGACGCTCACGATCATTTGTATTTAATAAAAAATCATATTTTTTTCCTCATATTTGTATTCCACTTTTAAAATCTAGTTCTTCAGTGTTATTTGAAGTGTAAGATCCTATTTAGTTGTTTCAATAGCAAATTTGAACAGTTCGACGATGATCAACTACGCAAATCTTCTCAGTGCATCCACAAAAACTCCTATGTTACCATCAGATCACTACGATCATTGGGTTGATTGAGTTGAGGACTATCTTACTAGAATTAATGAAGACCTATAGAGGCTAATCATGGAAGGTGCATTTAATCTAAAATTTGTCGGTATATTTGGTTCAAGAAATAATGACAAACCACTTATTGCAACAAACTAAATGAAAGTTGAAAATGAAAAAAAGGTGTATGCAAGAATTGAGAAATCGTCTTCCTTCGAATGTGTATGCTTATGTCCATGGTTGTAAAACAACTAATGAGTGATGAATTGAAGATAAGTTTAAAGGTACTGAATGTAACATCCCGGAAATCATGACATAAAAAGTTTTATTTTTAGATTAATAAATTGTTAATACATATCATTCCCATAATACCAATGTAACCAAGATTTAGCAAAACACCATCAAATCAAAGTAATTTCACAGAATGCGGAAACATGTGGTGTGTGCACCTCAATCGTCCCGAGCTCTTTCATTTGAACACTAGAGTACCTAAAACATAAACTCAAAACCGTAATCACAAAGCTTAGTGAGTTCCGCAAAATACCATATAACATACAACCACAGAATATCATGCAATATATATATATATATATATATATATATATATATATATATATATATATATATATATATATATATATATTTGTAACAGCCCAAATTCCAGGTTAGCTTTATGGCCCTTCTATTTTGTTGAGTTGGCATTTTAGTCCCTTGAAGTTGAAAAGATGAATCGGTGAGTACGCTGGGCGTACTGGGGCGTACGCCACGCGTACTCATGCGCTTAATTCATACGCGGTTCCGTCCGGGTACGCTTGGCATACCTAAGGTTACGTCGGGCGTAACCGGCCCAGACTCAAAACCCTAATATGACTTGAGAGCTATAAAAGGAATGAGATGGTCTTGTCCCTCAGCCACCAACTTTCAGAAAGAAACTCTAAGAGAGCATTTCCTTCGTTTTTAGCTTGGGTGTGAGTGTTCTAAGCTTCAAAGTGCCATTTCAAGGTGGTGAAAGGGAAGAGGAGACCATTGTGGAGGCTAGAAGTTGGTGGACAAGCGTAGATCTGAGGACTACAAAGGTTGGAGCTTCTTCCTGAGGTAAAAAGTTCAGACCTTGCCTTGTAGTTTATATGGTGTGCTTCTTGGACCAATTTCTAGGGTTTTTGGTCCCAAGATGGAGAATTTATGAGCAAATAGTCTCCATTGGCCTAGATCTATCATATTCCAGAACTATATGAGCTGTATGTTCATAAAAATGCAATCTTGGACGTGAATGTTGAGCCATGCATGAGATCTAGACTCTTGGAGGAGAAAGGAAAGGTGTTAGAAGGTGTGGGGGAAAATTGATAGCCATGCAAAGGCTTAAAGGTTTCGACTTTATGGATTAAGAAGTATTAAAATAGCCAGATCTGTAATATGGGGTTATGTCTTAATCGTTTAAGACATTAGATTGAGGAAGTGAGAAACTGGGATGTACGCTGGGCGTAATCCCAGTACGCGCCGCGTAGTGGGTCGCGTCCCCCGTTTCTGGAATGCAAGGGTACGCCCCGCATACAGGAGCTGGTACGCCCCGCGTACTGCTTGCTGTTGACTTTTGTTGACTTTTAGGGTTTTGGTCAACATATGGACTTTTGAGTCAGGGAGGGGTAAAATGGTCTTTTACCCTTCTGTGGGATAGTGGAAAAAAGGTGTAGCATAGCCTTGGAAGCCGTTAATAATTAGATTGATTATTTGTTGTGATTAGGCGGGGCTAGGTCGTTGTTTCGAGATTCAGAGATATCGAGCACGTGAGATTCTAGACATCATACGAGGTGAGTCTTCTCACTATGCCTTACCCGATAGAGTAATTATGTGTGACCGGAAGGTCTTATGTGTATGATGTATATGTGATGTATGCTATATGTGATATGTTGTGATATGAGTATGATGATGTGGACCGGAAGGTCAAGATGATATGGACCGGAAGGTCAACAGAGTCTGGGATGGAAATCCCCTGGGACACTTGGATCGGAAGATCCTATGGCCTAGAAAGGCGTATGTGCAGTATGTGGTATTTTGGGGAACTCACTAAGCATTTATTCTTACAGTGTTATGTGTTATGTGTTTCAGGTACCAGTGATGATCGCGGGAAGGCGCTGGCATGATTCGTACACACGCACAATGGAGTTGATATATTTTGATCTTGGGGTTTTGTACTGATACAATGTGATACAATGTTTTTATTTATAAATGCAAATGATATTTCATGGTTTTCAAAAGTGAAAAATTGTTCTAATTTTTACGGCGTTACAAGTTGGTATCAGAGCCTTGGTTTGAGGGATTCGGATGCATCTTCGGGCGTATCTGAACTCAAACTGAGGATTTGAGGAAAATTTTAATAATAAATTAAATTTTTTTAAAAAGAATAAAAAGAGTTTTGAGACAAACAGAGCAGAGCCGTGTGTACGATCAGCCAGCGCCCGAACGGTGATTTCCCAAAATACCCTCATAATAAGTGTTATCAGACATGCTATGTTATGCTAAATGATGAATTACGATATGCATGCTAGAGTAGACTAGGTATTCGTATTAGGACTAGAGTGGCCTGATATATGATGCCTTAGTCTAGGGGTTTTGCTGCTAGAAATGCTTAAGAGTGTTTAGATAGCAGCGAGGTGTTTATGAGAGATTTGCTAGTAAGTAGCACATGATAGATAGAGTAGAGTACTTGGGATTTGGGGCTCAAGGAGGAGGACTTGGGATGAATGCTGATGCGGTATGGACAGTAGTATTGGGCCCGTACTACTGAAGATACCGGGTTGGTGCGCAGTCCAAGTAAGAATCCTTAGGGCACTAAGGAACAAGTGGGGTGGAGTTATCGAGTGTGATTATACTCGAGTGGGTCCCTAATATTCTTATGTTGTATTTCAGAGGGAGATCATGGTTGGGACACGCCACACACCAGAGATCAGCGGGACGAGTGATGAGGAGATCCGTAGGATCATCCACGAGGAGGTGGCTGCGGCCATCAGGGCTGAGATTCCAGAGATGTTCGGGTCTATTAAGACCACCTTGATTGAGACTTTTGATGAGCGGTATGCTGCTCTTTCTGATGCTGCTGTTGCCGCAGCCACTGCGGCCGTTGCTGCCGCCAGGCCGCAGGGGGGTGACTCGTTGTTGTACCGGGAGTTCAGCAACACGAAGCCAGCTAAATTTGACGGGACTTAGGATCCGATAGCCGCGATGAGGTGGATTTCTAACATAGAGGGGTTCTTCGACACATGTTCATGTCCGGAGCATCTGAGAGTTTGGTTCGCGCTGAACCAGCTTCGCTTGGGGGCGAAGGACTGGTGGAAGTTCGTGACAACGCACTATTCCTCAGCAGAGCTTGCTGCGGTGACCTGGGAGAGGTTCACCGTTATGTTTCGTGATGAGTACGTTCCCCCGGTGGAAAGGGAGTGTTTGGCTCAGGAGTTCTTGACCCTCAAGCAGGGTACTGAGTCCGTTACTGTGATTACCCGGATGTTTCACGAGAGGGCGATGTTCTGAGCACGTATCGACCGAGCAGGCACGTATGAGCAGGTATCTAAGCATTCTGAGGAGAGACATTCGTGAGTTTGTGGCAAACTCATCATACCGGACATTTGTTGAGCTTCAGGAAAATGCCCGGAAGAGGGAGATTGAGTTGGAGACGCAGGCCATGGAGGAGGCCGAGTCTCAGAGGATGGATCGGCGGCCGGCACAGTCTCAACCGGCACCCAAGCGGGCCAAGCCCGCCGATTCGAGGTCTGGGGGTCAGAAGGACCGCACTTGCGGAAAGTGCGGCAAGGGTCATGATGGAGTCTGTAGGGCTGGTGCTTGCTACAAGTGTGGCAAGGAGGGGTATATCGCCAAGGATTGTCCCAAGGGATTCATGGTCTGCGTTCATTGCAACCAGACCGGGCACCGGAAGGCGGAGTGTCCACAATTGCGAGGGACGACATAGGGATCTGCCCCTGCTGCTGCGAGAGCTAGTGAGAGTCGGCCGGTGAAAGCCGAGGCGCCGAAGGCGCAAGGGAGGGCGTTTCAGCAGACAACGGAGGAGGTCCGTGCATCACCTGACGTCGTGGCTGGTATGTATTCTATCATGTATTCATTTTATATTGAGATATTGTGCTTATATTATGTTATGCGTAGGTACTTTTCTTGTGAGTTCTGTACTTGCTCTAGTGTTATTCGACTCGGGTGTGAGTCGATCTTTTGTATCGTTGGCGTTTAGCCGACACATCAGTATTAGTCGAGAGGCGTTGAGCCAACCTCTGAGAGTTTCCATAGAGGATGAGAGAGCGGTGTATGCCACCGAGGTGATTCGAGGTTGTGTACTTGAGATTTTCGGGGTAGAGTTTCCGATCGATTTAGTCCCCATTGCGATGGGAGATGTCT